ATTGCAAAAAAGCATTCCTACGAATACGAGCAAAAAACAACAAATCCACTCCAATGCAGTTTACACCAGTCGAGTCTTTACCGCAAAACTAATTTCAATTCCAACTGACACAGGTACTTTTAGTTTGAAATATATATATATATATATATAAATCATATTGGTATTTCACATCAATTAAAAATTACATCGAATATTTAAGCTCTATAAGTATCAGTTTGTTAGTTCCAAACGAGTAACTTGTAATAAAACTACAGATTCAAGATGAAAAACTTACAACAAATAGGACAATGTCAAAAAAGAAATGGTAACTACTTTTACTTTAATTTAATATAGGAGTCTAAACATTAGAAATCCTGACGGAAATCAAGGGATCGATATCAATATTAACTGTATTTGAGTTAGTTTCTAACTTCTTTGAGTTCATATATTTTTATTTTATTCAATTAATATTATCGTTATCGGTAGTAGTTTTCACTACATGAATGCTCTTTGAATTCTAAAATTTCGAATGCTCATCATTGTAGTGAATGCGTTTTTTATCGGGTACGGGATTACTACAATAAGTGTAGTAAATGTACTCGTTTTCATTTGAATATTAAACTGTCTGTTAAAAGAATGAACAATGATAATTCACCGATATCTTCATCCCCCAACCGAAAACGTCGTTTGGAGTCAACAAGTACAATTCCTAGTCATATGCTACAATAGTTACATCAATAGACCACTACGTGTTTAATATACCGTTACCTACCTTTAACGTTAAAAAAAATGCGTAACATGATATTAATTTATGATTGGTTCGCCGCGAGTTACACTGAAAAATTTTTGATGACGTAATAAAATTCCTGTCTTGTAGAGATAGCTTGAATATTACGTATTGAAATTAAAAGTGAGAAAAATTAGTATCGTTATTATTTTAATAAAATATAATAAAATTAAAATTTTTATTTTATATAAAAGTTTGCAATTTTATTAATAAATATTTTTATTTTTATATCAAAATAAAAATTATAAGTAATAATTTATTAATATTTTTTAACAAGATTATTCTAATTGCAAATTTATTGCAAAAATTTTTTATAATTAATTTTATATTTTAATTATAAAAAATTTTTGCAATAAATTTGCAATTAGAACAACTTTGTCAGAAAAAAATATATGTTAATTTATAACTTATAATCTTTGTTTTAATATAAAAATAAAAAATATTTATTAATAAAATTGCAAATTTTTATATAAAACAAAAATTTTAATTTTTATTATATTTTATTAATAAAATTACATATATAATTTTATAATTCTGTTAGCTATTATATATTATATATAATATATATTTCTCCAATACATAAATATTAGGAGAAAGTATTTGAATTTGATTTTCAATTAAGCCAATGTGTAATTCTATATTAAAAATAATTCAGTTAATTTGTAATTAATAGCTTCAGTTTTTTTGAATTGATTTTATTATTGTACATATTGTAAAATTGGAATACTATATTTAGAATCTGTTGTATTGCTAATGGCTATTAATAATTCAGATTATATCATTAATAACAACTAGATTATTAATAATAAAATGAATTTAATGTAATATTTGGATATTAACTTGAATATTATAGTATAATCTTGTAATACATGGTGATTTTATTTGACAAATTAAGAAATCATAAAAAATCTGTTACAGAATCAGTGTGTTAACTTTATCTTGATCAAGATTATCTAAAACTAAATAAGATAAAGTGAATCTATATTTAGTTATTATTTAATTTTGGTGCATAATATGAATATCTTTGCAAAGTATAATATAGGTTGTGTTCATTTTGATGCATTGTAAAGCTAGTTCTAGTATCTGCTGATTGATAGAATTGTAAGCATGATACATATCTTGAAAGATATACCAGACTTCTTGCTTTTTTCATGAGTCTTCAAGCATGCTATTAAGTGAAAATAACATAATTATATTATTTCCACTTAGTCTAGGTTATATATGACAATGGGATCATATATATGTCATCATTCGAGTAATGATTAGTTCACGAGTTCATCATTATACTTAGATATTTGTGATCTATAAAAAAAAATATGATGCCGAATTTATGTTCATGTCATTACATTTGGATACTCATGATCTATAAAAAATATAACAATGAATTATGTTCACGTTATCACTTAAAATGATTTAGATTAGATTGTAATCATCCTAGATATGATGAACATTTTGTGTTTGCCTCATCATTCGAGTGATGTATATTTTGCATTTGCCTCATCAAAAATGAAATGTTTATAGTCTGCTCATCAGGTAACGTACATCTTGCATTTGCCTCATCAAACTCAAGTCAAAAAAAAAGTAAGATTATATCTTGCGATTTACATATCATTGGTAGTAACAAAATTCTTGATTGCAGGTTTACGAATAGATATAATATCCTTTAATTCATCTTCAGACTCAGAATCGTAATCTTTTTTTAGCTTTTCTATATAAGTTTTAAAACTCTTACCAATCTTCTATATTAAAAGTTTATTGATAGCTTGATTTGGTTTAATGTTGCAGTCTGTCTCCTCAATTTTTTGCATTATAATTTTATTAATAGCTTGAGTTAGCATGCTCTTGCGATCTTGCATTGTTGTCATTTTATACACCACATAGAATTTTTAATAAAAAAATTAATGCAATCAGGACGTGCTATATACATGATATCTGATTATGCTATCAGACTATGCTATCGAATACATTATATTAAAGTATGTCAATTTTAATTACTGAATTATTATCCCAATTTGGTAATCCACCAAAGCATCCAATGATGAGACACATAGTACCAAATTGTTAACAATTATTAGCTTCACATAATTCATTCAAATATTATCTAAGAATGAGATACATAGTGCTGAATTGCTAATTATTATAATGCACTCAAGTATTGATCAAGAATAAGGTACATAGTGTTAAATTGAATATATCTGATAATATACCAATGCATCCAATGATGAGATATATAGTGCTGAATTGTTAACAATTGTTAGCTTCACATAATTCATTCAAATATCACCTGAAAATGAGACATGTAATGCCAAATTGCTATCATCACTTAATAATACTCAAAGTATTGTAATAAGTATATCTATTTTCCATTTTTATTTGATATAAGGATGGAATATTGGATATAGAGATGATATAGTATAATGGATATAAATATAAAAAAAATTTTAATGCAGTTGGGACAGCAAGATTATAGCAATTTTATTACTTTTGACTTGTTTGAACTACTTTTCAGATAATAAAAAAAATATGTAACCTTGTTATCCTAAAAATTAAGCATAATATAATTTTATGTTTTAGAATCCTTTCTTGTATAACCAGTGCTGTTCCAACATATGTTACTAAATATATAATCAATATGTAACTTTGCTAATCCAAAAAATATATAATTAAAATGCAATCTTGTTGTTCTAAATCATATAACCAAAATATAATCTTGCTGTCTCAAAAATTTAGTCATACTTGTGTGGATTGCTGTTCCATTATATCACGAGTCACTATTCCAAAAATTTAGCCATATCTATACAAATTGCTGATCTATTATACCTATATATTTTACTGTCTTGGTATATCTATATATTTTGCAGTTCTGATTGCATCTCGATTAAAATTATATAACACAAAAATCTCTTTGTATAAAATACTTATCACAGGTTGTCATTCTAAATCACATGACACAAAAACCTCTTATATGATCTAAGTATCAAAATATTAATTTTTTTTCTTATATTAATTGTAAGAGATGACAAAAATCTTCTTATCCAAAATATATGGCTAGATATACTCCTAGCCAAAGTATTCTGATCACATTATTTTAAAATAATAATTATATATATTTAAGAATTGCTAAAGATTTATTTTTCAACTCTTTTTTGTGCAGTGTATTGTGCAGTGTAGTAGAAACTTGTATTTTAGCCTCAAAATTTTGCTTGTATTCCAGGAAAGCAATCTCATCCATACTTTTGTGCTCTTTTTTTCAATAATTATGGTTATCCCACATTTCAAAGACAATTTTGGTTCGCCATTACTCCAATTTTTCTTTTGATATTTGGAATTTTTGCTGTAAAAGAAGGATAAGAATATTGATATTAGATTTATTTTTAATGAGAAATTCTGAAGATAAAAAAATCAAAGATTCAGGTATATTTTTCTCTGTTGTGCTAACTTTATTAATAGTGTTATTGACAATATGGCATATATCTTGAGAAGAATTGAGATCTGATTTTGGGAGATCCGCAATTACATTATCACTTAAACAAATATCAGAAAGAATCATCTTTAGATTTCTATCTATTTTAAGTTTTAAGTGTGTAAGTTGATTTCTACAATCTTTTTCTCAGTAAAATGATACTTTAAATTCCTTTAGTGATTTGAGAAGAAATTCCATAAAATACTTTAGATTATAATTAGCATGCAGTCTTTATTTTTTTCCAAATATTGTATAGTAATGATGCTCATTTTTCTTATAAATTGATAGAAAGCTCAGTAAATTAGTATCAAAGTCTTGACGTGATAAAGTATAAGATGTATGAATACCTAAAGAAAACACTATCCCTCGTAAATTTATGATTCTCACACAAGTCATCAAGAGAGTTCATAGCTTGAATTAATGCACTATATGCATTTTACATCTCTTTTTGGGAATATTTTTCTACAAAATCTTCAGTTATATTTTCAGGTGTCTTTTTATAAAAAAATGCGAGATTATACTTCTATAAGACAAGTTTACAAGTCAGATCTATATTCTCTTCTCTTTCTAAGCATTCTCGAATATTCAAAGCTTTGATATCACTCAAAACTGGAGCATTAGCAATTATTGAATACTTTTCTGTATTCAGAACCTTTTTAATTGAACTTACATTTAAAAGCAATTCTTTGCCTTCATTATTTTCTGTGATTTTTGAATCAATAGAAGAGTAATCTTTAGTAATACTAATGTTATAGCTGCATTCACTAAGATGATCAGCTAGTAAACCTACAAAATTGTTTCTAGATGTATTATGATAGGATACATTATAAAGATGAGTTTCTAAAGATACATTTGGTTTAAAAATTCACTTACCATTAAGAGTAAGTGTTTTATCACAATGAGCTTCCTCTAAGTCAGAATATTTCATAATATTACATTAATAGCTGATAAAACAAAGTAAATCTTTACAGTTTGTTGACAAATTATCATCACATAAATTCATTAGAACATGTACTATATTTTGATTTAACTTTCTAACATAGTGCAACATCTGATACATTTTATTGCTTGTTAGATCAGCTAATATGCGAAAATGAGCAAACATCATATCAAAGTTTTCTATTGTTATACTTACACTGTAAATCATGACTGGAGATGCTAATTAAATAATTGAGATTTGCTACTGCATCATTAATATCAGCAAATATGTCTTTTTTCTCTATTTCTGATAGCCATTTGGAAAAATATTTATTTTTATACCCATGAAATACCAATTCTTTATGAAGAGTTTTTGCCATTTTCGCACTAGCAAATATTAGAATATAGACTTTTAATCATTGTCTTAGAGCTCTAATTAATTCAGTATTTCATTTTTTGGTATTGTTACCAATTCAGTTGGTTTTATAATTCTTTGAATATAGATCATGTGTTCTTTACGTATTTCAATCAGATGGGAGAGTTCTTTGAATATAGATCATGTGTTCTTCACGTATTTCAATCAGATGGGAGAGTTATTAAAGATTTTTACATGTTTTAAGTATTTAAAGTTGGGAGAGACTAATTTATTAAAGATTTTTATAATCAATTATTTAAAAGTAGATAACGAAGTATTCATTTTGTTGAGCAACTAGAATGAGCTCAGAAATCTTCTTTTAATTGATTAACTTCAAAATAATATCTTTTCTTTTATTAAGTTTCTAATTAACAATAACTAACTTTGCAGGGTGGTGATGAGAGGTTAATTATATCAAATAAAAGATGTTGCTTATTACAGATGAGAGATCTTTTAAAATAAAAGAATACAAGTAAAAAAATAAAAAGAAAATTAATGCTTGACTGAAAATCTTTAACTCAAGACTTATAATACAACTCACTTCTAAGAAGATTTTGTCAAAAGAAAATTATAATCAAAAGATTATTTACTTGTAAGAAGACTAAAATGATTAAGATAGATAGATTAATATTTTTTTAAGCTAAGATACATGTTATATTTATATAAATTATTTGTTATTCAATCTATATTATTTCATTCTATTAAACTGGTAATATAATTATCAATTCAAGTATTGATCTAAGTATTAATCTCAGTATTAAGTATTAATCTGAGTATCAAAATTAAATAAGAACAGGTAATTAAAATATGCTATATTAGAAGAGTATTGATATGAGTATTAAACTAAGTATTAATTCTGATATTTGAAATGTATTACATTAAAGTATTGATATGAGTATTAAATAATTAAAATGTAAAACTTAATGTTTCTAAAAATAATAAACCAATAAAATAGAAGATAAATCATGTGATAAATATAACCAATAAGATGATAGAATTAAATAATCAATAAAATTATAATATATAAAGTCATATCATAACAGTATTAATATGTATAAGAGCATGATGTTTATCTTGTATATGCTAGTTTTATATCACAGTTGAATTTTCAATATCTATTTTCGAAATATTTTGTAAATGTACAAGTGAGTTTGAATTTAATGTAGCATCTAAAGTTAATATTAATAATGCAGATTGGAGCAAGGATTTATATACATCATGGCTCAGCTTCAGTTTTTTCATAGTAGATCCACTAAAATTCTGAGTAATAGTTTCAAACTCATCTAGTATAATTATATTATAACCAGTTATTCCAAGTTTGTGAATACTTTCAGAACTGATAATGAGTTTCAGAATATCTTTAGGATTAAGCTTTTTTATATCCAGTTCAAGATAAGACTTAAATCCTTCAAAAAGAACTTTTTGATCATGGGCTAGACTACGTTAGCTGAAAATGATAAGAATTGAAATGGAAGAACTATCAGAATGACATAATGTTTTTATTTTTTCTGTTGTCATATTTGATTTGCCAACACCGCAATGTTCTTTAATAAGTATCAAGTGCCAGTTACCATTTGTAAGTTTAGCTTGTAAATTATAGCTACATATTATTTTAGCATTATATATTTCAATGTTTTTTCCAATAGCAGTAAAGTTATTTTGTGAATAAGATTGTAATATATGTTGAAGCCGAAATCTTAATTTATCTAAATATGGAATAACTTTTTTCTTATTATTGGTCCTGTTATTATTGTCTGCTCTAACAACTTCACCTTTTTTTGCCTAAAACAATAAAGAAAATAATATGATCCACACCATCTACCATATATACCTTCTCTCGTGTGCTCTTTTTTACAGATCAAACATGTTGTATATAGAGTTCTATCAAAAGTATCAAAGCCATTACTAGAATTTCGATAAGACAGAAAAGAAAATTGTTCTTCTACTATTTTTATTACAATATCACTCTGCTCACGTGAAACAGATTCATTTTTCAGTTTTTTCTCTTCTTCTTCCCATTTATATAATCAGAATTCTGTGAAATCTTTCTCAATATGAGTGATAAGTGACTCTCTCCAAATATGATTTGAACAAATATACTTAATGTATGAAGAGTCTTTGGCTTTATGACTTCCCATTAGTCGAAAGCAATAAAAATCTTTATTTACTTTTTCATTAATAAAAGAATTCATTCTTTCTGGAAGAAGTTCTAAGATTCATGATATAAATTTTTGAGCTTTAAATGCATCATAAATAAAATATCTAGGTAATATCAAATATTTACTCCATTTAGACTCATTTGAGGAATCAGCTACAAGAAAATCATCTTTTGAAAGATTTAATCCAGTTATTTCTTTTATAACAATTCGAAGAGCATTTTTAATATATAAATAAATTTTGTCTTTTTTATATGTAACTTTAGTTGATTTCTGTTATGAATAAAGATATGTATTAGTGATAAAACCATTAAATAATTTCTGTTCAAGTGATATTTTTATTTTATCTAAAGGATCAGGATATGATACAAATTTTTCTAATTTACCATTTATATCAATTTTGATTTTTTGTAATTGCCCAGTCTAAATAACTTTATGAAATGTATGTTGGTTTTCAAATATTGATTCATGTCATATTTCAAATTCAGATAAGTTATGGAAATATCTATAGCAATGAGAATATTCTTGCCAGATAATTCATCCTTCAGGTTGAACATTTTCTGAAGTATAAAAACATTCTTTTCTGGGGTAATTAGGATGATTAAAATATTTATATTTTCGCAAAATTTGTTGCTTATCGATTGTTAAATTTGGCAAATTATCTTCAGAATCGCTATTATATTTTGAGTTTCATTTGATAAATAATCATATTTTGAATGTGAATGTTAAGATATTTTATTGATTTGTATATATATATTATTTATATATGCATGTTGTTTGATCTGACAAAAAGTATATATTTTGAAATTATAATAATCAATAGATAAATCTTTAAAATAAAAATAATTCTTTCAGAAATTTTAGCTAGATGCCAAAAAAATATAAATTTGATTGAAGTAATTATTATATATAATCACGATGATATTATACTATTGTTCATATATTTATAGAACTGGAGAAATCTGTAGTAGAGGTAGTAATCAGAAAGATATTATATTTATCGTAATTCTTCAATACCTACTCCTTGCAAAGATTGTGGTGAGCCAAATAGATTTAAATATAATGCATGCAATAAATATGTAGACAAATATAAAAATAAAGAGAATTATCACAAAAAAAGCAGAATGAATTGCATATAAAAATTATTATGTTTGATAATCATATACTTGACTTATCTGATTCTAGACATGAACTATAATTATATGCTTGACATATACCAATTGTTTTTTCTAGGATCTCTTTAAGTAATGCTATATTCTTTTTGATCCCATTAATATTTTTAGTAATTTTATTACGTAGAGTTATGAATTTCAAGATTTTTGATCAAACTTGTGTCTTGTTCATATTCATTTTCTGATAAGATTACTCTAACAGCAATCTATTTAATTTTTCAAATTAGCTAGGTGATCGAAAAAACCAAAAATCTATAACTCCAAAACTAATCATATGATTGCAATTGATGAACCAGTATATAATATCTTGATACGTGATGGTTATATGCATTGAAAAGAGGAAAGACTTTTGATTCCACTTTTTAATGAAATGCCAATACTAAGAAAATGTCTATCTTTTACATCTAATAAAATTTGGGATATTGTTGCAGAAAAAAGTCTTCTTACTAAAATCGATGGAAAAATAAGCTTACTAGAAATCCTGCTTAAGGTAAACTGGAATGAATTTGCTATAGTGTTGTGATATGAATTTTAATATATCACATGATTTTTCATAGTTAATTTTCATTGGATAATTGATTTGTAAATCATATTCATATTTATTTTATATTATCCGTATTTATTTCATACTATTTTTATAATATTTCATTCTATTTCTATTTTATTTCATA